TATTATTATTATTATTATTATTATTATTATTATTATTATTATTATTATTATTATTATTATTATTATTATTTATTTGTGTTATTTATTAGTACTCGTTATTATTGTTTCTTAAACTGCATTTATATCGGGTTGATATGAGGATTTAAAAGTATTTTTTGGTGAGTTTCAGGCCTCGAAAGTACTTTGCTGATTATTTTCCGTTGTTGGCATCGTATTTTTTATTGATGGTATTATTTATTTATTTATTTGTTTATGTTTTATTTTTATTATTATTGATTATTGTTATTTATTATTATTTCTAACGTTTTATATTTGCTTGCTATAAATATTATTACACTGCGCAAAAATTAAAATAATAATGTTAACAGCGACTATAATAATAGAAGTAATAGTAGGAGCGAGCTGTCACACAAGCCCCGCCCACCGATCGCGCGCAGGCCGAAGAGCGAGCGCTGTGCGCGTGCGTACGTACTTGGTGGGCGGGGCTTAGGCAATATGGAATAATGTGTTATTGGAGGAGTGAATGCAGGAAGTTTCAGCTGTACATCTACTTCTCGGTGTCGAAAATAGTGATGGTGAAGAGTAAGTTGGGTCTGTCGATCGCAGCCGTGATTACGGTCGCCACAGCGCTCACGATGACCGCGGGCATTTGCTCGCACATCGAGATGATGCCGTCGCTGTGGGGCGCTGAGCTCTTTCCCTATCTGGCGCTTGTGGTCGGTCTTGAGANGCACATCGAGATGATGCCGTCGCTGTGGGGCGCTGAGCTCTTTCCCTATCTGGCGTTGGTGGTCGGTCTTGAGAACACATTGTGCTTGACCAGGTGAGTACTGGGTTTTTTGGGCTTTGGTCTCGTTGTGCTAAAGTGGGCGGGGCTAGTGATACGGTAGTGGGTGGGGCTAGTGCTGTTGAAGTGATGGGCGGAGTCAGTGTAGTGATAGTGGGTGGAGAAAGTGCTAAAGCAGTGGGCGGGGCCAGTGTCATGATAATGGGCGGGGTTAGTGTTTATAAATTGGTGGGTGGGGCCCGTTTGTCGGCACCACATTAGTGTGATAAAGGATTGCTGTGAATTCAAGAGAAAGCCACGCCCACAAACCGCACGTAAACGCTCCGCATAACGTTGTTGGCGCGTTTGGCGAAGAAATTTTATTCCTAATGTGATAGTAGTATTCATTGACTGATGATAATGATAAATAATAATAATGATAAATAATAACAATAATAATAAATAATAATATTAATAAATAGATCAGTGGTATATACCCC